GCAATTATCAAATTGCAGTTATTAATGCGCTGGCATTATGGTGCAGCAGATTAAGCCACCATCTGCATTGCCAGCACTCCATATGGATGCTGGTTCGAACCCCAGCTGCTCTGCTAGCAATCCAACTCCCTGCTAATGCACCTGGGAAGACTGGAGAGGATGGCCCAAATGGTTGAGCCCCTGCTCTCACATGGGAGATCATGATGGAGTTCCAGGCTCCTGGCTTCAACTTGGTCCACTCTCAGCTGTTGTGGCCATTTGGAGATGAACCAGCAGATGGAAGATTCTCTCTCTCTCCCTCTCTGTAACTGTCTTTCAAGTAAGTAAATTAATATTTTATTTTAAAAAGATAAACATAACTATCAAAACATAAGCTTATTTTGACATAGATCTCATGTAATCACTTTTCTGACGATGACACTCTATGCTTTTCAGAAGCCAACAGAGTTCCCTGTGGCTTCCCCAATTATGAACCAGTCCTACTGAAACAGTTGAAATTCTCCTAATGCCCATATTTCATACCTCTGCCTATTTTCTCCACTGAAAATATCCATTCCTTCTTGTCAAACTGTGAAATTCCATTCTTTTTGTTTGTTTGTTTTGTAAATCTTGCCCAAGTGTTAGCTTCTGGTTGAAGTATTACCTGAACTTGTCAAATGGTACTGCCTGTGTATTGCTTTGGTGTACTCTATCACTAATATACCTGTTACTGAATTATTGCTTTATTTTTCTATCTCTTCTACAAGACTTCTATCTCTTCAAATACTATGATTTCTTTGTCTTTACATTTTAATGTTGAACATAGTGCCTAATATAGTAAAAGTGCAAAATATCTATTGAGAGGTTGAAATTTGATGGTGGTTAAGATGCCACTTGGGACACCTTTGCATCCCATACAGGTTCAAGCCCCAGCTCTGCTTTCAATGCTAGCTTTTTGGTAATGAGCACTTTGAGAGGCAGCCCATCATAGCTCAAGTATCAGGGTCCTTGCTCCTACTTGGGAGACCTAGACAGAGTTCTAGGCTCCTAACTTTCACCTGGTCCAGTCCCATTATTGCAAGCATTTGGGGAGTGAAGCAGTGAATAGATCTCTCTTTGTTCTCTGCCTTTCAAATTAAGTATACATAAATACATTTTTAAATTAAAATATAAAGCAAGCTTTGATTTTGAAAAATTTAATGGTTGGCTCTTTCTGCCATAGACCCTGCTTAGTCATATCTTTCGTTCACTCTCTTTCTACAGTTGACTAATCTCAGCCTGACCTGTCTGTGCCCCTCTCACTTAGAGGTACTCTTTTCAGGTTTTTTCTCTCACTTTCTCGTTTACCAGTAATTATTTCTCCCACTCATGTTGGGTATTTCTCTGTGTAGGTGGCTCACACTTCTGCATGAATGTATACTTATTCTCTCACAGCCAAGTAAACTTTGTTCCTACTAATACACTTAAAAAAAAAGAAAAAAAAAAAAACCCTAATGATTGAATGAAGAATGAATAAATGAATTTTCTGTTATGGATTTTCATGTATTTACATTACAAAAATATTTGCATTGTGTCCTGAGGTTGCAATAGTTGGAAAGTAAACCATATTATAAAACAAAATATTGCAAAAATTAATTGAGGAGTGTTTTTTTAAATACAGGCTATGAATGTAGCCTTTGTTCTTTCCCACTGGGAATTTTTCTTTAATCACAACCTCCAGTTTAGATAGTAAGGTTGCAGCAATGGAATGAGTGGCCTGGACTAGATGATTTCAAAGAGATAATATTTGGTTGAGGAAGCATATTCCAAAAGAATTCTAAAATGTGTAGACTTAAATTCTAAACCCATTATGAATACCAGCATCAATGTAGGTAACTGATGTTAATGATATATGCAAATTATGCATATTTATTATCTACTATGTTAAGACATTGTGTCTATTCAATCATTTACTCCATCAACAAATGTATTTTCAATGTTCAATAAGTTTTGGGGACTGGACTCAGCACTAGAGACAGAATGACATCCAAACTTAACATATCATGTTTTCTGATGGTTTCTGTTTTCCTGGAGTTTACATTTTAGAGAAAAATGAAGTAAACCCATCGATATCCAAATAATCATCTAGTTATACCTGTGATGGTTTTAATAGGAAACATCAAAATGTCTCTTTTATGTATTTAAGAGAATTTTTTTGTCTAAAATCTTTCCAGAACAAGGAAAAAATGTATATTTTCTGGCCCAATAACAAAAACCATTAATTCTAACTTAAGTTTGAAAATTTCTAGACTAATTCTTTTTTCATAACTTGAAAATGCTTGTAAGAAAAAGAAGACATTAAATTGATAACACAAAAATTAAAAGGATTAAAAGGGGGGACAGGGTTGTGATACAACGGGTTAAGCCACCACCCATGATGCTAGCATCCTATATAAGTGCCCCTTCCTGTCCTGGCTGTTCCGCTTCCAACCCAGTTCCCTGCCAGTGTACCTGCGAAAGCAGCAGAAGATGGCTCATGTATTTGGGCCCCTGACACCCACATGGGAGATCCAGATAGAGTTCCAGATTCCTGGCTTCATCCTGGCCCAGCCCTAGCAGTTGAAGCCATTTGGTAAGTGAACCAGTGGATGGAGGATCTCTTTCTCTCTCTTTCTCTCTATCCTTCTCCCTTTCTCTCTCACTTAGTATTTTCTCACTCTCCCCCGCTTTCTGTAATTCCACTTCTCAAATAAATAATTTAATAATTTAAAAATAAATAGTTTAATAAGAGAAAAAGATCATAAAGAATATCTAAGAACAGTTATACACCAGAAAATTGGATAATCCAGGAAAAGTGGACAAATTTCTAGAAATATAAAATTTGTCAAGACTGAATTGGAAAGGAATAGAAAATCTGAACAGACCAATAACTAGTAAGAGATTGAATCAGTTATACAAATCTTTCCAAGTAAGAAAAGTATGGGACTAGATGGCTTTACTAATGAATTCTTCCAAATATTTAAAGAGGATTTCATATCATTGTTTTTCCAATGCTTCTAAAAAATTGAAGTGTAAATACTTTCTAACTCATTTATTAAAGTCAGCATTACCTTGATAGTGAAAGGCAAATGTAACACAAGAAAATAAAATTATAGATTAATATTCCTGCTGAACATGGATGAAAAAAATTAACATATTAAAAAGTTATACATCATGTCCACCTTGGTGTACAAGGGTAGTTCAACATACAAAAGTTAATAAATATGATAGAACTCATTAACAGAGTGAAGGTTAAAAATCACATGATATTATCAAAGGATGCAAAATTTTAAAAAGTATTTGACAAAATTTTATAATCTTTCATGATTAAAGACTCTCTACAAACTAGCTACAGGAGGAATTTGCCTTATTATAATAAAGGTCATATATATAAGCATAGCTTTATGCTTATATATAAGCATGGCTAATATCATACTCTATGGTAAAAAAGCTAAAACTTTTCTTCTAATATCAGGAAAAAGGTAAGGACGTTCACACTTTCCACTCCTACTCAATATAGTACTGTGTGTCGTAGGTAGGAAAATAAGCAAGCAAAATTAATTTTTTACAAATTCAAACTGGAAATGATGAAGTAAAATCATCATTTGTTACAGATGATATGATTTTATATGTAGAAGATTCTAAGAATTCTCAGAAAAACCATTCATTAGAACTAATAAACAAATGTCAGCTCCAGCCATTGTGGCCATTTTGGGAATGAACCAGTGGATGGAAGACCTTTATCTCTGTCTCTCCATCTCACTGTCTGTAACTCTACATCTTAAATAAATAAAATCTTTAAAAATAAAAAGTGACTATAGAAAATTCAAAAACCAAAAAAAAAAAAAAATCAACAGAGAGCAAAGGCAACATACAAAATGGGAAAATGGGAGAAAACATTTGCAAACAATATATCTGAGAAGTCACTGATATCCAAAATAGGTAAGAAACACAATTCAAATGTAAACAAATAAGCTAATCAAAATAAGCAAAGCACTTGAATACATATTTTAAAAACAAAGAAATGGCCAACATGTATATGAAAAAACATTCAACATCTTTTCTCACAAGAAAAATGAGAATCAAAACCATAAGATTTTTGGGTTTTGGAGAAATTGGAATCATTGTACCACAGTTGGTAGAAATCTACAATGGTATTGCTGTCATATGCTGCAGTATGCAGTATGGCAATTCTTCAAAATATTAACACTAGATCCACCAGCAATCTTGTTTCTTGTTTAGATGTAAAAGAATCAAAATCAGAATCTTGAAGAGATATCTGCCTTCCTGTGGTCATTGCAGAATTATTCACAATTAACAACAAGGAAACAATCTACATGTCCATCAATAAATGAACAGATAAAGTGAAGCTTATATGTCTCAGAGTTCTTCAAAATGCCATGGAGAATGAACAATCTCTTTTACTTGCATTTTCTCATTAATGTTTTAAATTACTCTCATACATACAATATAGTATTTTATAAGAAAAAAATTTTGTCGAATGCAACAAAAATGAACATAGAGGCTTTGAACACTAAGCTAAGCCAATCAGAGCAGAACAAATACTACGTTATTCTACCTACAAGATGTCTATAAAATAATCAATCCCCTAGAAGCAGAAGGGATTGGTGGTTACTAGGGGTTCAGAAAGGAGGAAACTGGAAGTTACGATCATCGTTACAAAGTTTTACTTATACAAGATGAGTATGTTGTAGAGATCTGCTATGTATAGTATACCAGTTAATACTGTACTATATACTTAAAACTGCTAATAGAGTAGATCTCATAGTAATTATTCTTATCACAGTTTTAGAAAAGAAATATTTATAAAATCTTGTGAAATCACTTGACTTATTCATGTAATTTTATACTTGAATTGATGGAATACTTCAAAATCTTTAGAAAAAAACAATGTTACTCTAATTTTTCATTTACAAAAGCAATTTTCAAAAATTAATATGAAGTTCTTAGTAACTTTCCTGAATAGCACATAATAGTTTTACCTGTGTATTCAAGATGAAATCCTGCAGCAGAAACACTGATGTCAGATTGAAAATTCAGATATAAATTATTGGATGTACTATTCAAAAGATGAGGTATGGTTGTTCCTGAAATGATAATTGAAAAGACAGGTAAAGGATAACATAATAATACCATAGTAAAGTTAAGTAATTTAACTGCTAATTAGCCAAAAGATTGTCACTAAAATTTTACTCAAACTGCCTTTCAGGAAGTTTTTTTTATAAAAAAATTTCTCTTGGGTTGGCATTGTGGTGTAGCAGTAAAGCCGCTGCCTGCAACACAGGCAGCTCATATGAGTGCTGCTTCATGTCCAGGTTGCTCAGCTTCCCATTGAGCTCCTTGCTAAAGACCTAGGAAGAGCAGTGGAAGATAACTCAAGTGTTTGGGCCTCTGCACTCACATGAGAGACAAGGATAAAGCTCCTGGCTTCTGATTTGGCTTGGCTCAGCCCTGCCATTGTGGCCATCTGGGGAGCAAACCAGCAGACAGAACAGCTCTCGCTCTCTCTCTCCCTCTCTTTCTCTGTATTACCTTTTCTCTCTGTAACTCTGACTTTCAAATAAATCAATAAATCTTAAAAAAAAAAATTTCTCTTGGGGACCTGTGCTGTGACAGAGAAGGATAAGCCTCCTCCTACAGTGTTGGCATCCCACATGGGTGCCAGTTCAAGTTCCGGCTACTCCACTTCTGATTCTGCTCCCTGTTGATGCGCCTGGGAAAGCAGTGAAAGATGGCCCAAGTACTTGAGGCCTTGTACCTACGTGAGAGATCTGGAGGAAGCTCCTGATTCCAGGCTTTGGATAAGCCCAGCTCTGGCCATTGCAGCCATTTGGGAAGTGGACCAGTGGATGGAAGATCTCTCTCTCTGTCTCTCTCCCTCTTTCTGTAACCCTGCCTCTCAAATAAATAAATCTTTGAAAAAAACTTTCTCTCATAATTCTCTTTCGTTCCATACTTCATGAATATGGACATATGAAATGACTTTAGATTGCTGCCTAAAAATAAATAGGAGTGGCCAGTGCTGTGGCATAGTAGGTAAAGCCACCACCTGCAGTGCCGGAATCCCATATGAGTGCCAGTTTGAGTCCCGGCTGCTCCACTTCCGAGCCAGCTCTTTGCTATGGCTTTAGAAAGCAGTAGAAGATGGCCCAAGTTCTTGGGCCCATAAACCCATGTGGGAGACCTGGAAGAAGCTCTTGGCTCCTGGCTTGGGATCAGCCCAGCTCAGGCTGTTATGGCCATCTGGGAAGTGAACCAACAAATAGAAGTCCTTTCTAATTCTTTCTCCCTCTGCACACCGCCTCTGCCTCTCTGTAACTCTGCCTTTCAAATAAATAATTTTAAAAAGTAAGAGCAAAAAAGCTTGTAGAAGTCATAGCAGCAATTTTCCATATCACCTAAAATAAATGTTTTGAATTTCATGTGAATCAATACTCCATACATGAGATAATAATAAACTTTTTTTTTTAAATTTGCATGTGAATTTATGGTATAACATGATTTGGGGTTTTGATGAGATAGTTAATTCATTTTATTAAAAATATATTTATATGCTTACATATATATTTATTTCATATATACATTTCTATACTATGTCAAATATTTTAATGTTTCTTATACTCTGACAGCATGCAGTTGATTCAGCATGCAAAACTCTCAATTTTTTAAAATATTTATTTATTTCTTGGAAGGCAGAGTTAGAGAGAGAGAGGCAGAGGCAGAGGCAGAGAGAGAGAGAGATTAATCTTTTATCTGCTGGTTCACTCCCCAAATGGCCGCAATAGCCAGACCTGGGCCTGTCTGAAGCCAGAAGCCAGGAGCTACTTCTGGGTCTTCCAAGCGAGCGCAGGGGCCCAAGCACTTGGGCCATCTTCCGTGACTTGCTGAGGCACGTTATTAGCAGGGAGCTGGATGGGAAGTGGAGCAGCTAGGACTTGAGCTGGTTTCAATATGGGATGCAGGCATGATAGTCAGCAGCTTTACTCACGACTCCACAGCTCTGAACCTAATCCCAATTATGACTAGTGTTAACCTGCCTCTCAGCAAATGAATTATAATGATGTTCTAAGCTTCTTAAGTAAATCAATTTTATATTATCTAATCATTACGTATGAAAATATAAAATATTAGGGTCGGCACTATGCAATAGCAGGTAAAGCCACCACCTACAGTGCTGGCATCCCATATGGGCACCAGTTCAAGACCCAGCTGTTTCAATTCTGATTCAGCTATCTGCTATGGCCTGGGAAAGCAATGGAAGATGGCCCAAGTGCTTGGGCCCCTAAACCCATATGGGAGACCCAGAGGAATCTCCTGGCTCCTGGCTTCAGATCGGCCCAGCTCTGGCCATTGCAGCCATCTGGGGAGTGAACCAGTGGATGGATGACCCCTCTTTCTGCCTCTGCCTCTCCGTAACTCTGATTTTCAAATAAATAAATACATCTTAAAAATATATAAAATACTAGCATGAATCAATTACTGTTTAATTATATCTTTTGGGCAAATAATTCAAACATCTTAAAAGGATAAAGATTCAGATGACAATCATTAAAACAATTGTCAATTCTATGTTGTAAGAAAAAGGTCAACAAGCACATGAGTTGACAGACATCACTTTTTATGTAAATATTTATTTTACACTAGCTTTGCATAACTTTGTGGACTTTTTCCTGATGTCTTCTCTGAAAAAATAGAAAGGAATCATTACAGAACATACTTATTGCTTTGTTTTATTTTTTTTTCTGATCTTACTTTGCTCTTAGTGTCCTAACTGCAGTCACTGAAGACAAAGATAATCAGAAACTAAAATGTTCACTCAACCTGCGGTAAGTCTCTTATAGGAATTTTATGATGAAGAGCTCCGATTCTGGAGTCATATCAGCTGGATCCCAGTGTTCTCCTAACATTAACTCTACAACCTCAAGAAACTTAATCTCTCCAAGCTTTAAACACTTACTCAGACTGCTAGAAAAATCAGTAAGGAAATGATAATAATCCTCACACAGAGATAGCACTTGGTAAAGAATAGTACTCATTTATCACTTTCATCATCATTATATTCATTATTATGAAAGTATTACAACCAGCCTATTATAAATCAAATATATTCAAAATTTTATGAGATTTTTCTAACGTATCTTAATCTATATTTAAAACTTGCTTATGCCCAAACCACATCACTCTTGCTCTAAATATTTATTTCCTTTCCTCATTGATGATGTTGAAGAATTGGTTATCATACTGCATGGAAAAAAAGCTCTTTTTTAAAAAAAATTATTTATTTATTTGAAAGAGTTACAGAGAGACAGAAGTGGGGGGGGGGGTCTTCCATCTGCTGATTCACTACCCAGTTGGCCATAAGGGCCAGAGCTGTGCTGATCTGAAGCCAGGAGCCAGGAGCCTCCTTGGGGCCTCCCATAAGGGTGCAGAGGCCCAAGGACTTGGGCCATTTTCCACTGCTTTCCCAGGCCATAGCAGAGCTGGATCAGAAGTGGAGGGCTGGCGTCGTGGCTCACTAGGCTAATCCTCCACCTTGCAGCGCCAGCACACCAGGTTCTAGTCCTGGTCGTGGTGCCAGATTCTTTCCCAGTTGCCCCTCTTCCAGGCCAGCTCTCTGCTGTGGCCAGGGAGTGCAGTGGAGGATGGCCCAATCCTTGGGCCCTGCACCCCATGGGAGACCAGGATAAGTACCTGGCTCCTGCCATCGGATCAGCGTGGTGCGCAGGCCGCAGTGCGCCAGCCGTGGCGGCCATTGGAGGGTGAACCAAGGGCAAAAGGAAGACCTTTCTCTGTCTCTCTCTCTCACTGTCCACTCTGCCTGTCAAAAAATTTAAAAAAAAATTAAATTAAAAAAAAAGAAGTGGAGCAGCAGAGACTTGAACTGGCAATTATATGGGATGCCAGTACTGCAGGCGACAGCTTTACCCACTATGCCACAATTTTGACCCCCAAAAAATACCTCTTAAAAGCTTAAAGCCATTAAATTTTTCAATATACTATGTCCGAAGTATATAGGTTAATAATTTCATTATGTTTGCATTTTCAGAATTTATAAAGAATAGAAAAGTTATCAAAATAAAATTCCTGATTATAACTTCTCTGCACAGAAAGAGACTTTTAGGTGATTACATAAGTTACCTTTAAAGCATCAACAACCTAACAGAAGGTATTAAAATCAGTCAATATCTTGAATAACAAATTATACTACTTTATTTTGCATTTCCTTCTGATCTTTTTACATGAATTTATATGTGTGCATGTGCATAACTGTTAATTTTCCATATTTTTTGATTTAATAGAAATAATTACATATTGTCTTTATTATCACATAAAAGTACCTATAATGCTTGCCATGTTGTCAGATAGTCTATAATTATCTTAATGAATACATAGCATTTTATTGAGTGAACATACCATAATTACCAAGCAGACTATAATTTTTAACTATTATTCTTTTATTCTGTTTTTCTTTAAGGAAAGAAAAGTTCACATATATTCCTGAACCATAAATCAGCTGAAAATATTATTATGAGCATAAAGGTATCAATAAATAGTTATAGAAATATGAAAAGAACAAGAAGTATATATAGTAAGTTTATATAATAAGCTTTTAAGTAGAAATTTTGATACACCTTTACAACATTTATGTTCCTAAACTTGTAATTTAATGTATTGTGCATGGTTTATAAAATGCAGCTGAAAACACCAAGTGGTTCAGGGAGCTCTTTAAAAAATATTTTTATATTCATAATTATATCTTCATCTAATTAAGCTCAGCTTTCTTAGTTACCTGAATAACTTCCAAGTCTTGGAGCATTATTGTCTCCTCCATCATAAAAGTCCAGAGAATCCCAATTATGTTCTGTAGCAAAGCTTATAACTTGCACCTGTGAAAAAATAATTATTGGTAAGGATATACATTTCTAAATAGAAAGATATACAATAGTATATTGATTCTCCAAGGAAGAGAGAACCCAAAGCCTGGACCACATCACTGTGGCTCTTCACAGATTTCAAAAGAACTGATCTTTGCTATTATGGCACTGGGCTATATGAGCTAAGTTTTGTAAAAGTCTTACGGGGCACCTAGCAGGGTGGGTACAATATAGAACATGTCTATCACTATTGCATTTTATCGATTAAAAGCTTTAGTTGAGAGGCCGGCGCTGTGGCATAGCAGGTAAAGCTGCCACCCAAGTGCTAGCATCCCATATGGATTGTGATTTTGAGTCCCAGCTGCTCCTTGTCAGATCCAGCTGTCTGCTAAGGCCTGGGAAAGCAGTGGAAGATGGTCCAGCTCCTTAGAACCCTGAACCCATGTGGGAGACCCAAAAGAAGCTCCTGGCTCCTGGCCCAGCTCTGGCCTTTGTGGCCATTTGGGGAGTGAACCAGCTGATGGAAGCCCCCCTCAACCTCTGCCTCTCTGTAACTCTGCCTTCCAAATAAATAAATAAATCTTTAAAAAATATAAAGTTTTGGTGAGTCTAGGAACCCCAATGCTATGTTGCAAACAGTTAACATTTAAGTTTTTGGAGTGTTAAGATTCTTATCATTTATTATATTTTTGTCACTGGTTGAAGCTATTGGGAAATAATCGGCTCTGTGGTCCACAGCATATGTGAATATATAAATGAAAAATACTCATTTTAAACTCAGCTTATTCCTGAATACATTTCTCCTTTCATTACACATTTTTCTCATGTTTTTCTCTTCTTTTTACTTCAAATTTTTAACGTAATCCCATATGAACATTTTTAATATTTTTGGTTTTTAGGATTTTAATATGCCAAAATCAATCACCACAAATAATACTTTGTAAGTGCTTCAAATGCATTTTCTATAGATCATTTTTATGAATGAAGTCGAAACTAAACCACCCTGAACGTCCTTAAAGTTGAGAAGGAAAATTCTGGGGTGATATAGCTCATGTCTATTAGATTTTATTTAAAGAAAGGGGCATGTGTTACTTTGTTGCACATCACTTAGCACAGTTTGAGCTTTTGAAAGAATCCTTAGGACCCCCACAGCTGTGCATCTTATCTATTTTCTTCTTATTTACGAAATATTTTACAGTCTGAAAGCAGAAAAAATGAAAACTGCATTAAAATAAATTTATTTTATCTAACTGAAGTGCTTTGTAAATGTAGACACTAAACTCATTCACTAAAAATAATTTCAAAAAATTCATTCACTAAACATTTCTTATCTGCAAAATAGTCCATCATCATTCTTCTGTTCAAGTGAATGTGTGCCTCTTTTCCAGGGGTGAGTGCCACATGGCAACAGATACCCTGCCTGTGAGATTGGCATTAGATCCAATGGCAATGTTCCAGAACAGGAAGAAGGCCAGAATTAACCGCCACCTTAAACAATGATCAATTCTCTCTTCATATTTGTATTTTCCTTTCCTTCAAATTAGGAGAAGAAAATATCGTATTCAGCTAAAAAAAAAAAGGAAACATTTATACAGGTGTTAACATTTGGGCTGAGAGCTGTAGGTATTGAGAGGTTTGCCACTGAAAGAAATTATTGACTTTTTAAAATTGTAGAGTAGTGAAGCCATGAGTTAAACTTAGGGAACCATCAGTAATGCAATTCAACAACATGGAGGGTAGTTATATAGGAAATTTGCATGCAAAGTTAGAAAAAGCATAGAAAAATGAAAAAGAGTAGAGCTTAGTGCACATTCACAGTAGGCGTTAGAGAACCTGGATTTGCTTGTTTCTGGCTCCCTCTATTGCTGGCATGTGACCCTAAAAATGCCATTAAACTTTTTGTGCGTCAGAGTACACATATTAATCATCACAGTAAAGGTATCTAATTCATAGGTTTGTTGTTAGAATTTAATTATTGTATTTGTATACAGGGTTTGAAATAGTATATAGTATGTATTGACGATTCAAGGAATTTTATCTGAGAGACTGAGAAAAAGACTCATAATAATTACGTACTTGTTAAATCATACCACCAGTGTCCCACTGATGGCTTCCAAAGTAGGAGGAGAAATACCATCATGACTGTGCTATTTGTACAGTGCTAACTGGGGTGAAAATAACAAAAGTGAAAAGACAATGGGAATGTCCATTGAAGTAATATTTCAAAGTCTATGGCAGTGAGAAGTTATGAGAGATTCAACTAAGTAAGAAGCAGGAATAGTAGAAAGGAAGATCCAGATAATCAGGTACTTTGCTATAGGGAAGTTACTAGATTTTGTGTGATTTGAATAGGAAGAGAAATGAAAGATAATATTTAAGAATGATTTATCCCCCCCCCCCAAGTTATTCAGAGCATACAGGTGGCAAGAACAGAAATGTTACCTCCAAGTATACCTGTTACCTGAATGGGAGGACGAAAATCTGTTTAATTCTGAATATATATGTATAGAAGGCTGAACAATGACTCCCTAAAATATCAGGTCCTATTCCCCGCAGCCCGTAAACAGTGTAAGGAAAAAGTTTCTTTTGGATTTGATAAATTTAAGAATGTTGAGATAAAAAGATGCAGAGAGAAATTCAACACAGACAGAAGAGGAGAAGTCAGGGTGACCACAAAAGGGGAAATTAGAGTAATGTAGTCAGAAGCCAAGGGATGCTTGCAGCCATTAGCAGTGGAAATACAAAAGAAAGGAATTCTCCAAAGCCTGAGATGGGAGGAGAGGTTCTGTCAGAGTCTTCATTTCAGCACGCTAAAATTTGTTTTGTACTTCTGGTCTCTAGTACTGAGAGAGGACAATTTTATTTATTGCTATAAATTTCATAGTAACTTTTTACATTAGCCACACAAATCTAATACAATTTGCCAATCATGGGCAATTATGGATTCTGTACAAATATAACAATTGTTTGGCATAATACAATTGTAGAGTGTGAAGAAAGAAGAAGTAGTAAGCTATGCCCAGATATCTTTTAAGAGACTGAAGTAATTGAGAACCTACTGTGACAGAAAGTCAAAGAGATCAATTAAAAATTTTGAAACAGGTAGTTACTAACACAGCTTTCTAAGGAACTTCGCATTAGGTGATGTTATCCATCATGGCAATGGGAAATCTTTATGAGGTAATTAATTTCCAACCATTCATGCCAGTTGTCTATCATGCAGATGCTCAGATTCCATTTACTTGGCTTGGAAGATTACATTAGCTCATCAAGATCATGCTATAAATTAACACAATTATATATTAAACATATTTTCTCCTATGGTTTATCACATAAATGTTGACTTTTTTCTTGATCATTGTGACTGTTACTGCTGAATGTATCCTCCCTGGAATTCATGTAACAAACTCTAGTAAGAGAACGAAGTAAATAAATGAATCCCCACAAATACCTCATTAATATGATAAATTGGTCTATTTATTAAGGTTATTTCTACAGAATGCATGGTTATTCTATATTATTGTTATTTTCTCAGCATTCTTCCTGCCAATGGCTGTCTCATTTTTATTTTTTAATGTATAATTAGTAAAATCTCAAATATAAGTCATTATGAGGATTCTGGGTGTGTGCATGTGTGTGTGTGTGTGTGTCTTATAAATTCATGTGATTACTGATATGTCTAAAATTATATGCATATAAGTAGTTAATTTGAAATATGTGCTTACTCCTTTTTCAGTGTTTAAATTTTAAAATCAAGTATGCTTCACATTCTATAAATTTCCTTAGTGTTTGGCTATACTCAAACTCTCTTTTCTAATGTATTAAATATTAAAAAAATACCCTTCCTAGGTAAAAGATATTATACTATCATTAATATGTATGCAGTTTTGGATAGTGTTTGTCTAGAATAAATGAAATAAATGTAGTTTTCCTGAATACATATTATCAGTTCTCTCCATGCTAACGCAATAAAAGAAGCAAAACACCACTGCATTTGGAGGTACTTATTGATTCATTCTGAAAATGCTTACTGAGTATATATTTTCAGGCAATTTGCTTACTTCCAGAATAGACATGGTCACTGTCCTCAGGAGCTTAGAGATAATTATAAGCAATCAAATTTGATAGGTATAATTGAAGAAATTATGGTGAGCTATGAGAACATACAGCATGAGAACTTAGGCTTGCCTCAAGTTCACAGAAGATCTTCCATAGGGAACCAGTTAAGATAGAATTGGTGAATAAGATTAAGTTAAATAAATGGAGATCTTAGCACTGCATGCAAAAGGATCAATATGCAGAAAGTTCCAGATGCAAGAGAAAGCCAGGTTTATTATAAGGAACTGAAGTAGTGAGAATAGACTAGGAAAGAAATGAAAATAGAGCACCCAGATCTATGATCAACTGAACTGAAAGAATTAAGAATACTGGGGACAACTGAGGTATTATAGGCAGTAAAGTAGCAGAATTAGACTTAATTTTTAGCAGGTTAATCTATTTGCTCCATGGATAATTGAATGGAGGAGAGAGCAAGAATTTGAGACAGGAATGATGGCTACCCAATCAATCTTGGGTGGGAAAAGTACAGATGGAGAAAATGGACTTGCTTGAGGGATCTGTGAAAGATGGACCTGACCTACATTTTTGAGTAGAGAGGAAGACAGAAAAAAATTGATTTATGGCTTTTGCAATTGAATAGATGTAATTCTATAATATAGAACTTTTGGGGAACATTCACAATTTTGAAAAAAAATTTCATGGGGCCAATGCTATGGTGCAATAGGTTAATCCTCCACCTGCAGCACTGGCATCCCATGTGGGCACCAGTTCTGGTCCCAGCTGCTCTTCTTCGATACAGCTTTCTGCTGTGGCCTGGGAAAGCAGTAGAAGATAGCCCAAGTCCTTGAGCCCCTGTACCCACGTAGGAGACTGGAAGAAACTTCTGGCTCCTGGCTTTGAATTGGCCCAGCTCTGGCCATTTGGGGAGTGAACCAGCAGACGAAAGACCTTTCTCTCTCTCTCCCTCTCACTGTATGTAGCTCTGTCACTCAAATAAATAAATGAAATCTTTAAAAAAAGAAAGAAAGAAAAAGTATTCATGGAGCTAGTTTTGGGAAGATTGAATTTGGGACAGCTGGACATATGCTGTACAGTCTAGGAAGGAGATTTGGATGTAGGACTGGAAATCATGATCCATTTAGTCCTTCATTCAAAAAAATGTTTTCTTATTTTCTATAGTGATTAAAGTCCTCAGCATCATCAGTACATTATAGTAGCTGAAGCCATGAAAATAGACAAGGTGACAGAGAGCATGGTATAAAGTGAACCAAAGCTCACAGAATCTCAGCAACACTACTATTTGAATAATAGGCTGAACTAGAAGAAGAGGAGCCAACAATGTGGCACAGTGGGTTAAGGTGACACCAGTATCCAATATGAGTGCTGGTTCTAGTCCTGACTGCTTTACTTCTGATCCAGCTCCCTGCTAATGTACCTGGGAAAGTAGCATAAGATGGCCTAAATACCTGGACGGACCACTGACACTCAGAAGGGAGAACCAGATGCAGTTCCGGGCTACTGGATTTGACCTGGCCCAGTCGTTGACTATTGTGACTATCTGGGGAGTCGGTCAGCGGATAGACATTTCTCTCTCTCTCTCTCTCTCTCTCTCTCTGTCTTTCAAACAAATAATAAATATTTTTTAAAAAAGAAAGTTCATATAGAAGTCATATAAGTTGGAGCTATAAAAGTAGAAAATAAAAGAAAATAAAATCCAAGAAAATATTGGTATAACAGAGGAAAGAAGGGAAAGAAGTGATTTGGCAGTGTGGAGAAAATCAGCAGGATAGACAACTGCTGACAGAACAAGCAATATGAGCAATGCGATGGATCTAGTCACACATAGGTGTTCACCATGATATCAGCTCTACTAGAATATTGAGTGCTGAAGCCACGATGTCATTGTTCGGTAATACAGCATGATAGCTGGAGAAAAAATTCAAGGGTTTTCATTATTTTATCATCGATAGAAAGAAATAGCTTGATGTCAATAAATAGATTCCTAATAATCTTCATGTATTCTGTACAACCTGGACAAGGACATTAAAATCCTTGTTAGTTGTACTATATAGCATGACAAGATTATTTATCTCCAAATTGTACAAATTGGAAATAAAATATATAGTACAGCTACCAGAACATAACATATATCCATTGTCTTTTGATGTCCATAAAAGTCTGAAAATATATAACTTTCATAGTTTCTCATTGGTTTATTGGCCTACTTTACACTTAATACCTGTCAGTAACTTTTTTAAATTTTCTGGAAAATTATAGATATAATTTGAAAAAAAAAGCTTTTTAAACTAAAATTTAATGCTTCTATCTAATTTAAAGCATAGTGTCTTGGATACTTTTACTGTAACTGTTATACATCTGAATTTCCTACAGAAAAACTTTAAGAATAAACCAGAAATGTAAATGTTATTTCCTGGACCCCGTTCCTCTCCTCGTTATCTTCCATTGTGCCTGATCTATATATATATATATATATATATGCAGACTCAGTAGTAAAATGCCATCAATGCATCCAGAAACAACTTCAATTGAAAACAGAGTAACTGGTCAAATTGCTGTCCCCAAAATGATCACAATTAAATGAATATGGTAGACACCCTATTGCCTATAGAATTCTAACTGTGTTCTTTGCTAACAGAAACCTGACTTAGTTAAATTAATTGAAACACATGTACATCACAGGTGGCTTAGCTTCTTGCCTACTCCAGGTACTTGACATTGATTTGTTTGAGCTAAATAATTGTACATATTTTACTGTTTCCAATGTATGGTTTAGGAACAGATATGGCTGCATTTTTAAAATATTTCTGTCTTGACTTCATTTTAAAATATTTCTATCCACTAGGTTGAAAGTCTGTAGGTTTCTTGAGAAATTTTTCAGAACCAGTGAAAATTTACACAAAACAGGGGCATTCTTCTTTAGCTATTGGCCATTGCTATGTAAGGCTGCTGTGACCAGATCTTTTGCCACTATCTTAAGCCCATGAAAAAGGAAGGCCCAGAATTTATACCAAGATACTGAGGATGGCAGAACAGAGAGATGGAAATTACCTCAGTCTAGAATGACAAAAAACGAATCTCTGAAATTATCAAAGCTAAATCATATCATTTCAAGATTTCATGTTATATGAGGCAACACATTTTTTATAATGCTTATTCTATTATTTTTTGCTTTCTGTTACTTGAAGGTGAAAAAATGAATAAATACCTTTCCATTAAATTCAACCATGTCAGTCAAAAACTTTTGCTAAGCTTTTAAAAATAATGTTCATTCTCTTGTCTCTGAAAATATTAACTTCAAACATACAATGCAAAGAAGAAAATTTTAAATATTCCTACTTGAATACCAGCTCCTTCTGGCACTGTGATCTTCCATACACAATTCAGATTGTTGTCATAAGGTTCAGGATATCCAGGAGACAAAATAGTCCCTTTGCGTTTAGTTAAAATTCCACCACAGGGCACTAAAAATAAAGCAGTCCAAGAGAAGGAGTTAATTCTGATGTAAAGAATTAAAATAAGAGAAAAGGTCAGAGAGAACATTTTAGACAGATACAAGACTGGAAAACAATATCAAGTCATCCTGTTTGTAAGATTCAGAAGAACAATGAAAATCACGTCTGTCTATACCACAAAATTGTTTTAAAATAACAAGGCAGCATTTTTCAGTTGACCTTATAATGGTGTATCTAAAATCGCACGATACTTTATGTAATAATAGCCTATAATTTATATTACATGTGGATACTTCAAAAAGTTCATGGAAAATGGAAATAAAAGTTTATTTTGGTACACCAATTTTTGAACTCCATTCATAGTTTTTTCATGAGTATTTTGCATGAATTTTAATACCCTTTATATTACAAAAACTATGACAACATATGCCCTAAAATAGCTCTAATTTAGATATAGAAATTTTTGTTTGAAAATAAGTGGTACATTCTTCCTCATGTATCATTTGAAGAATAGCAGCATCCTTTGAAGAGTAATAATGATGACAGCAATTACATTATGATCACAACTTTATGTATTTATATATCACACTGGGCACACTCCTAAGCATTTAATATATTTTAACTCACTCAGCCTCCCCAAAGTCACTGATATGAATAATGAATAAACAGTCTCTCAATTCTTTAGTTGAGTAAACTCAATCATTAAGTTATTAAATCTCTCTCCCAAGAAAACAGAGTAAGAGACAGAGCTGGGACTTGAATCCTGCACCCACATGAGAGACTTGAGGAGTCTCCTGACTTCTGGCTTTGGATCAGCCCAGGCCCAAATGTTGCAGCCATTTGGGGAGTGAATCAGTGCATGGTGGATCGATCTCTCTTTCTCTGTATCTCTGCCTTTCAAATAAATAAAATAAATATTTAAAAAAAAAAGTTGTGTTACCTATTCGGAAGTCAATATAGGCTTCTTTGATTTTTAGAAGGTACTAATCAGAAAGCAAAATTTTCTTATCTACTAATAGTATCAGTTTGATTCTGGGCATGGCTTAACTCAGAACTTCCAAATACTGTGTAACACTGAAATTATCCTAAATACAGATACCTTATCTGTGAAATGTTAGTTATTGCTTACAAAAGGCTTTTTTGAAAAAATAGAGAAAATATAATGTATACAAAAAGCTAGCAAATTACTTGGAATACAATGATTCAATAAATTATATTTTTTATGACTATTTTAGGTAGTAAAAGCATTGTGCTACTGGGCATCTGTCCTAGTCTGAATATAATGGTGAGATGTAAAAACATATCTTTTATAATAATAGCTATTAAAAAGCAATTAGTTTTGTGCTACTTCTAAAGCCATATGCAACAATCCAGTATAGTTTCTCCAAAACAGTGCTACAAACTTATTTAATGATGCAATAATGTAATTTTATGGAAAGTCATTTTATTGTATTTTCTCATAAAAATGTAAGAAAATGGGTGGCAGGGGCCCAAGTATTTGTGCCACTTTCCTTTGCCTTCCCAAGCTCACCAGGCATTGACTTAACCCACTGTGCCACTACACTGGCCCCAACATTATGTGTTTACATACCACAAATTTCACCCATATTGAACATGAAATTAAATTTTAAAAGCCAATATATTTGTATTTTTAAAAATTAGAGTTATTTCAAAATAGTTAAGACCAAATTATTAAACTGTTCCTCTATTGACTAAATCTTGCTATTATTTGTTGTGTTTAATTCAAAGGTACTTCAAAAACTTCAAGGAACAATATAATTTAAATATGTTTATTTTGTTGCAAAAAATGTTTAAAATCCATGAATAGGTTTACTACAAAACAATTTTTTGTGAACTTTTGGAAGGCCCCTGTGTGGCTTTCAAAATATTTCTGGACTAAAATAAACATCCTTTAGTTCATCCCATGCTGCTTCAAGTTATCCCCTTACTCCATTTCTCTTCCATGCCTTCCATCAGGCTTTGGGCCTCACCACACTGTTGAAACTACCATGAAAGTCATGAGGGCATCCTTCTAGCAACAAGATTGATTCTTTGCATTTCACTCAGTCTACGAGTGAGCAATTGTTTTCCAATGTCAATCATATCGTTTATCTTGAGCCTTTCTTCAACTGTCCACAGTCAATTTTCTCCTGTACATACTATTTATATCTGTTTTTGTAGCTCATCTTCCTCCTTCTTGTCGCTCCCCGTCTTCGTGGAGGAACAACACTAAGCCCTGCCTAGGCTTCATATCCGAGTCACGGCACCACTATGTCGCTCCCCCTCTTCGTGGAGGAGCAACACTGAACCCTGCGCTGTTCTCTCGTCTGCTCGGCCCTCCCCGGGTTTGCTGCTGGTTCTTCCCGGGTTGGCTACTATCCCTTCCACCTCCGTGGAAGGGCGGTTCCCCCTGGCCACATTCCCCACTTCCGCAGGGGAGCGGCACACCGCCGGCCGGCTCTTCTCGGGGGCTGCACGGGTTCCCTTAGATGTTCCTGGTGCATGCCGTCTCTCTCCTCCTTTATAGTCCTCCTCCGCCAATCCTAACTCGGCTGCCCACACGCCGAGTACGCTGCTCTCCAATCAGGAGCAAGTCCTACAGTTTATTGGTTGAACTGGAGGCAGCTGGGTAGAAGCTGTTTTCTCCTCTCCCAGCGCCATATTGTAGGAGAGCAGATGCATAGAATAAGTCTTAATTCCAGTAACAGTCTAGTCCGAGCTGCTCCCCACAGAGGAGAGCAGATGCATAGAATAAGTCTTAATTCCAGTAACTTAGTCTAGTCCGAGCTGCTCCCCACACTTCTGATCCTTTACATGCTAAAGTACTGTGTGTCTAGGTCCCAAAGTATCTTTTTTTTTCCAAACACCAATTAATCATTATTTCATTATTACAACTAATGACCAAAGGAGGAAGTTTATTCTGGCTCATGGCTTTGGAGATTAACAGTCTAGGGCTGGGCAGGCCTCATTCATTCAGCAGATGGCAACAGCGGAATACTTGTGAAACTCACATGATGAGCCAGGAAGCAGAGGGAGCAATTGGCTCAATTCACATTTTAAAACCAGCACTCCCATAAGAACTGTCCATGGAGAGCATGTCCCTAATAACCTGAGAACCTCCCACTAGGCCCACCACCTAGACACCATAATTAGATTAAATTAGCATGCTGTTGATACCATAAACTTATGACTTTGGAATTTAACCCGATAAATGAGTTAGAAGGACAAATTATGTTCAAGCTCCATCAAAATCACTCAGTGATGCCATCTATTTCCATGTCTTCTTTATATTATGATTACTAATGTTTATCTCCAACCATGACTTCTGTCCTGAGTTGTGTAATAATATGACTAATAAGTATCTCAAAATTACTATGGTCAAAACAATACTTTTGAAATTTTTCCCCATCTATACTCTCTTCCACCTCAGAAAATGTCAACACTATTCACCTAGTTCTTATGCCATAAACCTAAGTCCCATCTTACTATCTTTCTTACATTTAATTTCACATTTACATGTATATTCAGCCAGTAAAGATTTTCAGCTCTATCTTAAAAATATAACACAAAGCTTACTACTTCTCATAACTTGACCCTAGTCTTCTAATCTAAATCACCATTATCTTTCCCCTTCACTACTATAAAAGGCTCTTAATCATTCTTATTGCTTCTACCCTATACCTCCTCCACTCACTCCAGTGACTGAATTATAGCACTCCCTATTGAATGAACTCCTACACTGAGTAGAGAAAATTCAAACTCCCCATAATTTTCAGAACTGAGTATGTTGTGGCTTCAGCTCTGCTTCTCTGCGCTCATCATCTTTGCCATCATTTACTCTGCTGCAGACATCTAGGATTCTCGCTGTGGTCTGTGCATGTCAATATCCCTCTTCCCAACCATATACTTGCTCACCACTAAGACTTTTATGCATTACTCATTTCAGTATGATATAAAAACAACCATATCCACTAGACGATGACTTCAAACTTGAATTCCTGCTTTACTTTTTTCATAGCATGTACCACTGCATGCTATTTATTAATTAAATTTATTAATATGCTTGGTCTCCTTCTACTAAAATGTCAACTCCATAAGGCCAAAGATTTTATATTTTTATTAAAAAGTATATCATCAGTGCCAAAAAACTGCCTGGCACTTAGTCCCTATTCAATAATACTTGTTTGTTAAGTAAGGTACTGAAGCACGAAATCTATCTGTTAAAAGTAGCCTCTGTATCATTTCTGTATCATTCTTATGTCCCACTATTTTCATAAACAAGACATATCTGTTAAATTCTATTTCAATGATTTTTTTAAAAGATCTATTTCACTTATTAGAAAGGCAGATTATAGAGGGGCAGAGGAGGGACTGGAGAAAGATATTTTCTATCAACTGGTTAACCACCTAGGCCAGGCTAAAGCCAGGATTCAGGAACTCCATCCTGGTCTCTCATAATGATGGCAGGGTCCCAAGTACTTGGGCCACTTTCTGCTGCTTTCACAGATACATTAGCTGATAGCTGGATCAGAAGTGGAACAGCCAGGACTGATGGTGAACCAGATAGAGTCCCAACCTGCTGCACCACAACACTGGCCAAGATAATTTTCATTTTTTTCACCAAAAAAAAAATATAGATATTCCCAGACATGCATTACCACATATAGAATGTTTTACAAGCTTCTCTTCATATGTGTTCATTTGCCTCCCATTTTTAAAAGACATATGATAAATTTCCCTCTCATCACTATGATACAATATAACATATTGATTAAAAAAACAGGTTTTAGAATCAGGAAGCCTAGGTCCAAATAATAATTCTGCTTTTGGCTGTGAACCATAGGGGTTTGATTATCTGTAAAAGAAATCTTATCTATCTCTGGGAGTTAATATTAAATTAGGCAATGCTTAATAGTGCTTTATACAAATGCTAATAATCACTATTTGTTATTATACTTAATAACTTTTTCATGGATGAGTGGATAGGTGAATGAATGACTCAATAAGGG